AAAAGCTAAGATAAAAATATGTTCCATGTTGTTATAAATGAAAACCTAATTCTGCTCTCTTTACCAACTTCATAAATCATTGTGTAAAAGGGCACTCCCTATTTTCTGAAGGAGAATCAAACACCAGGTCAGTGGATGTAATAAACGCTTAGACTTTGGTAATTTCCACTTATTGCAAGGAACCGGACAAGAATGGTATAATGTTTATTTTAACAAAACAGTGATATATAATGAATTAGTTTACTTTTGTATTGTATATTTTTTTAAATGATTTAATATGTTTGTAACAAATAATGTACTTTAGCTTCCGGGTCAATGACACCCATCTTGATCAGGTTTTTATCCAGTTTCCCTGACACATTGAGCAAATGCTGAGACGTCCCATTGTTTTGCTTCTGGGCGTAAATGTAGCTTCACTATGCGCACGATTTGTTGCACTCTCCTTTTGGTTGTAGTGGTAGAAGAAGATGTAAGGGCGAGTTACTATTTTGTTAGCAATGCAGAAAAATCAAATCTGAAGTTAGTTTACCATTGCAAAAAAGATTTTCTACAACTCAGGAACAAAAATGTCTAGTTTTTCAAATGTCGCTAATCTCACGCTTTTTACATTTTATTTTTATTTATTTATTTATCTTTAACTGTTACTTATCTTTCAACTATTTATAGTTAAGATGATGGAAAGGTATTCTGGAACTCAAGAAAATGTGCGCAGATGATCTTCTCCCCCATACGTCATATGGTTTTTACTGTTTTTTGACTAAGTAAATCAAACTAATCCCTACCTAAAGAACGGCTTTATGATGATGTTGGTGTACTGGCTTAGGTGCCTCATGGCATCAAGTCATTGCAGTACCGTTGACTGGAAAGTCCTGGGAATAAGCGGCAGGATTTTCGACACTGGCTACTTAGCAAAGTCTAATTCAGACGCTGTGTGGAGGACAACCCTAGCAACTGGCTGCTCTGATCAGTAGTTTTCCATGGTTTCTCCAATCAACACCAAGCGAATGCTGGCTCAGTACCCAAACGGACCACAGACCGAACACGATTATTCCATCTTCCAACACTTATTTGTTCCATCTTCACCCCTTACTTAGACCAATTACACTTACATGCACAAAACTACCACCCATCAGGAGGCCCTTTGGAAGCCTAGTTCTTGACCCGACTAGGTGTGCCCCGATGAAGATACACGGCTGGGGAAGACCGCACAAGCCGATGGGTAGGTCAGCGTCGAATCTCCCCCATACACGGGATGAAGATCACCGCCTCCTCCCCGAGAAAACATGCATTACACTTACGAGACTAATAACCTTAGCGTTTGCCCGCCCGGAATCACAAATCAATCAACAATAATGTTTGACAGAAGATTATAGAGGAAGAAAACAAAACCCGAAGGTTAGAATATGCAAATGCACTACATTTTACAAATTTAAAAAATTCAATGTTCATTTTTATTTAAACTGTTTCAGTAGTTTCATGTTAAAATAAATATGATAAATCTTATTGCCCCAAAGTTTGTATATGGTATGGTATGGTATGCAACGTTTTGTTGTACATTGACTAACAGTTAGAAAAACCTTTCTCATGTAATATTTGAATAAATACAAAATATTATTTAAAAAATATTATTATTTCAATGCTTGGTCCTTAATGGGTTAAAGACACTCTAATGGTGTAGCAATTGTAACAAAGGGATTGACACAGTACCTAACTAACTTGTTCCATTTTCAGATACATGCATTGTTCTCCAAACAAAAAGGAATCTGATAAATGTCAATGTAATATAAGTCTTATGATCTTATTGCTGATAAACCCGACAGTGAAATTGAAAAGTATTTTTTCCAGATATTGGCCAAACAGCAAGACCAATTAAGAAACTAAGACCTAGCATGGAGATTTCAATACTAAAGTTCGACAAGGAAGGCTACTTGATATTGTGGGAGATTATAGGCTCAGAACCAGAAATGAAAGAGGTGATTGATAAATAGAGTTTTGCCAAGTTTCAAATTTTATGGTTGCAAATACATTTCCCCAAAGACATTTATATACACGGTTATCTCCTCAAGATAACAGCAATGCTGCACACAATCAAATATGTTATTTTGATTAACAAATGTTTTAGAAATGCAGTGAGGAGTGTTGAGACGTACACAAGCAGAGACATCGTCAAATCATAATCCTGTTGAGGTAAATGTACATGCCAGATTTTTTTTATTATTAGCCAACTGCACATCTCATTAAGAGCAAGGGTCTCCTGCTAGTGCAGGGAATCCTTCTTTAAAGACATGATAGGATGATAATGCAGGGTGAAGGGATGATCACAAATACTTGCATGCCTGAGGCAGGATTCGAACCCACAATCCTTCAATCTGAGATCGCCACGACACTACTGCCTTACTGATCTCGGCTATCTGGATTGACCATGCCAAATTAAAAGACCTCATTCACATAACATAAATAGAAAATTGAATTTAAAATTATTGAACTCCGATGTGGTCTGACAGACCTCTTTAGACTCAATGAAGAAATAAATGAGAAGCAGAAGACTAGTACACAGGAAGTGTGGTTGGCAGTTGAAAAAGTGTTTAATGAAGTTAGGGAAGACAACCTAATGCAAGAACAACTGTGCAAATGTACGGACCAATGAAATTCTTGTAATGATGACAGTGTATCGCAAGTTGAAAAAGTGTAATCTTCAGGAATAAAATGAATTGCAAAGGTAGATAAAACATAAAATGAGAACTGCAAAAGCAGAATGGTTTGCTTTACAACGTAGGGAGATAGAAGAGTTAAGTAAGATGCATAATGACTTTAACCTTGAAAAAGAATTAAAGAAATAACTAAATCAGGAAGAAGAGAGAACAGTCTTAAGATTTTGAAGGATGATGGGAATGTTGCCATTATTGAGAACAATAAATGTAATCTTTGGATGAGATATATTGAAAAATGTTCGTGTTCAAGAGTAAGAGCTGCCAATAAATGATGCCAGTCAATAAATGAAACTGGACATAAAGACATATACTAAAGGAAGAAGTTCAGAAGGCAATTACAGCCAGCAAGAATTACTGTTATAGGTTTGGATGCCATAAATATAGAAATTTGAAACTTTTGAACAATCGAGAGTACTTCTAAAATTACAAATCCTTTTAGTAATGTATATGACACTCAATATCTACCGACTGATTGGCTAAAATGTGTTTGTTACACTTTCAAAGATCATTAGGGTAAGAAACTGTGGTGAGTATTGGACAATACTTCGATGAAACATGTACGCAAGATTTTATTATGCATCATATACTGCACCAAGTATTTGCAAGAAAGTGGAAGTAAAAATGGGAAATACACAGTTTGCTTTCCAAAACACATTTGGAACACAAGAAGCCCACTTTCCCATTCACGTTTTAGTTCAGAAATAGTTTGGATCAAAGTTGAAATGTGTACTTATGTTATAATTAGGGGGCGGATTTTAATGAAATGTAATTTTTTTCCTTTTCACTTTAGAAAAATGCTGTTTAGCATAGAAATTCATTTTATGTAAAGACAAAAGGAAATTACCTAAGTCACTTTTTTGCATTTTTCATTGATTTCAACTAATCCTTCATCTTTTACCTTTTCCCATAGTTTTTAATGCATTTTTTGTTGATTTCATTGATTTTGATAACATTTTAATGGTACTTGCTTCAAACAATATTTACAAGGTGCAACAAAAGTTCACCACAGAATTCCTGAGTAACCGATTTGATTTCTTCGTTGATATATTGTAATGTCAGCTGTTGTGAGTACTATGTATTCTAAGGTTCCTGTGAAGCCTATCAGCGCCATTGTCAGTTCGGCCAAATTTCACGAAAAATAAAGGTAGGGATTTTCTTTTTAAGAACAGTCCAAACCAAACGTTTGTAAGTTGAGTTCGGCTGAAGAAAAGGAAGACGCCTCGATTACATCAGTAACATACCTAATGCCCGAGTTGTTCATCTGAAGTGGTTTGATCAACTGTTCTACATTTGTCTTTGTTTTTAGGGTATTTTTAAAGCATTTTATTGATCATTCGTGGCAATGTTTTAGGGCATCAAAATCTGTCACTAGTTATGATTTTTAAAAATCTTTTGGTAACATGGAACATGATACACTTATAGCCTACACATTTTAGAGAATATCAATTTGCACTAAAAAGATATGTACTACAAAGAACTTATATAGAGGACAAACTGCTCAAGTGTGAGTTGATCAGCACCTAATTGAAGTGGCCATGTGAAAAGGAGACAGAGTGTATTTAGTCTCCTTTACTATTGAACTTGTATTTGGAACATGTTTTCAAAGGTGCCTTTGAAAATTGTAATCTGGCAGTAAAAGTGAATAATAATCCTATTTCTAATACACGTTACATCAATGATACAATTACCTTGGCAGATAGAAGTGTACAACTGATTTACAAAAGCTAATGCACAGAATAAATCGAGCTTGAAATTACGAATTAGAAATAAATTCACATAATACACTGTCAACATTAATTAGTAAGAAATGGGCAAGATTATTTCAGCTGCTCATAAATGATCAACTGATTGAACAGGTTTCAAACTTCAAATATTTGGAACAAATTGTAAATCGGTCATGGTCATCAGATCTTGACACACAGCACCCATATGGTTTGAAATAGTAAGATCCATATTGAACAAAATGCAGAATTATCTATGTGCAGTGGTATGTTTTACTCTCGGACGGAGAATGGCAAAATATTACATGACAGCTGTTATCTAATACGGCACAAACATGGACACTCATAACAGCATCTACGAAGAAATTGGAGGCATTATCTCGTACGGACGTAAGCGTGAAAGAGAATTTCTTACACCCTGACAGCTACACGTGAGAAACTCCAACCACTCCAACTGCGCATGATAGAAGATCGATAGTTATCGCTAGCAATCGATTGCTGAAACACTTCGCTGTTTGAGTTATATCGATAGTCATGACGTATGGCAAGTCAGCGGCTTTTTGTAACATTCGCCAACTCTTCACGATAAAAATGTTACACTTTAGTAGAAAATATATCGTAATATAGTTATAATGACAATATATTCATAAAAAACATTGCTGTATGAGGTGCGGACATCAGACCACTTTCTTCCAACGGACACACCTACTTTTTTTTATCCAGCCCACGTCGGACTTCTTCGAAATTTTATGAACGTTGGCAGCCATTGGTTGACAGTTGCCTGTTCCTTAGTTCCTGCAAGATAGGTTTAAAAATAGAGCTCAGCACCACCACATATAATACTATGTGCGCGCCACTTGAAGTCTTGATTTTTGAGTATATTAAGAGAGTTTTGTTTCAGTTGTTTTAATGCTCAACTTTCGATATCAAATGTGCAAAACAGAAGGAAGTAAATGCTTTTGTTAGCATTCGTTTATTGTAATTGTTAGCAGTCATCTATTGAAATAGTGCAAATTCGAATGTTTTATCGTTGGATACACTCGAATCGGACGTGTGGTGAAATCTAATTCCTCCAGATCTTGAAATTTTCAATTTGATCTGTAATTTTTTTTCACATCACAATGGACGCAGATCGTTTGAACACATCGCGCGGAGGAAGTGCATTGAGAGGATCACGAAGAAAATCTCTACGAATGACCCACTGGACTGATGGATTCAATCAATCTTTACAAGACACTTTGGAAAGTAAGATTTTTTACTGTATACAATGTATTTTTTGTGTAAAACAAACTATTGTTAAAATTTATATTACATTAACTTACTTCTTCCGAGAGATCATTTTATATGATGAGACATCATTTAGCATTTGCAAAATTCACAAATGCACAAATGTTACATTACAAAGTAAAATGAATATTACAAATATGAAGCTCACTTGCATGTGTGTGAAGATATATATTCAATACAAATATGATAAATGTGTATTATTCTGAACGATCATACATAATACTATATCCAAGTATCCTTATGTTCTTCATATAATAGAACAAAAGTTAATGAAGGCTTGGAATAGAAATGTATATAAGTTTATGTAGGAAATGTTTAGGTGTACAAAATGAAACATTGTATACAGTGTTGTGTATGTGTACACACAGAATGTTTGAGGCACTTATACAATTTACTGTATCAATTAGGGTTATCAGGTGTACTTAAAACTGTAAAAGTATTGAAATACAAATCTTGGGTTCAGTGAATTTAATTTGACTGATAGCTGTTTTTTGAAGTTTGGTGGCTTTTTGTATATTGAAGGAAATACTTTTGTTAGTCCTTCTTTTAAATCATCTAAGATACTATTGATCAACATAGGTAACTTAAGAGTGTATGTGAACTCTATCATTGGTGGTATTAATGCTGATATGTCTAGATCCTATAATGTTTACATGTTTCATGTTCCTGAATTATAAATCGTAACATGCTGCATTGTAATGGTGTATTTGCAACGTTTCTGATAGTCAATGTCCTTTGCTCTGTAGTGTTCTATAGGAGTTGATTTATTTTATGAAATGTACTATTATAATTTTCCGTTACAAAGGAACTCCAGTAAATCTTCTAAATCAAAGGTGGGTGCTGTTCATAGTTGTAATTTTAATTTGAAACAAGAAAGTCAAGAAGCGAAATGTGTACACATATTTTAATTACTCCAGCATTTTGTCACAGCTTGAAACGGTTATCTAACAATCTTGTTTGCAAACATTTGATTATGTTAAAGCAGTAAGCGTAATGTTTGATGCATCTTAGTAAATTTAGTCTCCACTGCAATTGTATTAGCATGTATATGTATTTATAATAATCTTTTGGTTTTAGTGTTTATCAATCGTGGTTGGGAACTCTTCCAGTGCAGTCCTTTGTTTGGATATAGCACACAAGAAAACCCGAGTAAATATACCTTGACACTTCGAAATCATTGTGCTCAAATGGACGAAGAGGATGAGGATGTTGAATACAAGGTGCAATTCAACTGTATGGATAAAGTTGGTTATAGAGGACTTGATACAATTATCAAGGTAATCATGTTTGTATGTCATTTTAATTTCTGCTAATTTTTCAGTAATTTGTTCTAAAATGTTTGAGATAGGTCTTGCACAGATTAATGATTTATATGATACTTTGAAAGAGCATGTATTTTCCCCTTAAAATGCCAAGCTTTCCTTGCTTGTTCATATGTATTCCATGTCTGGTGAAGTGACTTGTATCTAGCTGAGCATTTATCACACAAGTGCTTGTGGACCTTGAGTTCCATCTCCAACTTTCTGTTAAACTCTTTAACTTATTGTTCATGAGTACCACTCCACCAAATCACTTCTAAGAAGCGTTTCAATAATTTAAAAAAAAAAATTGGTGGGGTCTTTGTTTTTGACAAAGTTTACTAAATCTGTACAATCTCTTCATATATCGTTAGATCAATAGAGTAATTACTACAATTGTATTTTCTTCCATGTGCTCGATGTTTGTGTCAACTATGTTCTTTGCTCTGCCACCAGGCTTCCCAAATCATTTTACCTGTAAAATGGAAAAAGTTTAAATTCCTAGTGTGAGGAAAGACAATATTTCAAGTTTTTAAAGCTACAGAGTTTTGGAACCATTAACTCTTTCAGATCTGAATTTTGTTTTATGTTGCATTTTATTTTGAGAGTTTATATATTTAGACTTTAAGGCACTTCTATTTTAGGCTGTTAAAATGTTAAAACAGGCTCTATCATTTCTTAAGTAAGCGGTATATTTTCACATGAAACTCTTTTTAAAGTAATTTTATTTTTTCAAACTGTTTAAAAAATATGTGTAGAAGGTTAAAAGCAGTACAGGTAGAAAAGTAAATACAAAAGACAGCAAAGACTAGATAAGCAGCATTCTGAATAAGTTTGTTTCCAGAAGATGAAGATGATATTCTCATTGCAAGCTTTCTCACTGGTGCACATTTTAATGTTACAATAATAGACTGAGTATTAATTGTCTCTTCCTCTTTTCAAGCAGTACACTGCTAGAGTAACCCTGGGTATTTATTTAACACAGATTTCAACTTCAGTCTAATTTTTGCCCAGAAAGCTTTCAAGTTTTATTCTCCTTGGTATCGATTAAACCAAACTTGGTTATTTTACTTCTTCATATTCTACTTGTGTTGTATAAAGAAAGTATTGTAATGCTGCATTTGAAAATTGCTATTTTTGACAAAAATAAACTTGTTTATTTGGTCCTAGATATAAAAAAAAATTGATTTTTCTTGCTATATAGTAAATTACTTTCTCAAATACATAGGTAAGTGAGAATCCATTTTTTGTGCGTCCTTGATACCGAGAAATTGACTTTTGGCATACTGATGCAGTTAATGGGGAGCTATAGAGGGTGGTCTGCCTTGCAAAAGGCAAGGTAGAATGTTTTAGTTTTTATGTTTATATTGATATTGTTAAGAAAACCCCAAGTTTTCCATTTCAAAATACATCATGAAATGTTTGGACTTTTAAAAAAAAATTTAATGGATGATCTTGCCACTGAAATGATTCTGTACAGTTTTAAAGATCACAATTTTTTTCTACAAATCTATATTTATATATAAAAGGTGAGTATGTCTGTTACACGACGCAAATACTACTTGACAGATTTCACTAAAATTTTCACACATTGTTCTTATTAGTATTGAGAGTATTTAAACAGTGGTTTGAATTAAATTTAACATGTGGTTGTATTTAGTCACAGTTCTTGTATAGTGGCCCCTGAAACTCTCAAATAATATATTAGTGTCCATTAGTAACTTGGAAGAACTTCAGGAAAAATTGGAAATTGAAGTACAACTTTGTTTAAAAAATCTTTTATACAGCAAATTTGTTGAAAAATGTATGGTCTTTACAATTGTACATATGTTTTTGCTCTCTCATCAACCATTGAATTGCTATAATGGGGGGAAGATAAAATAATAAAAGAATCCAAAAATTTCATGTGTTTTTATCTACCAAAATGTTTCTAAAAGTATTTCAAGGTGGAACTCTTGAGGTATTCAGAACAATATCAGTTTAAAAACATTACTTTTTTACTCACCTTTTGCCTTCAATCCTCTTAAGTCATTCGTTGCATTGAAGCTGCATCTCTCAAAGAATAACTTTCCTTCTTGACTAGTTTAACTGGTTTTTACCCCAGAAAATTTTATAAAAAAAATACATAAAATGGTTTCAGAACAAGTTATTTTTAAGTAAATATATGATTTAAATTAAATTATTTTTACAGGATCCCAGTTAAGCCATGTTCCACAAGTGGGAACACTGGAAACGAACAGTAGCAGCAGTTTGTTTTAGATTATATTGTCTTTAATATTAACATATAGGAATAACAACTAGGCGACAATGGTGTTATGGTTAGCGTATCGGACTGTTATACCCAAGTTGGCGGGTTCAATCCCGATCGCCACTGTGGATTTTTAAGGGTGAAAAATCCTTCGTACACCTTCCTTCGGAGGGGAAGTAAAGCCAGCTGTCCCATGTTAGTATATTTACTTGCATGTAAAAGACCCTCAAGTCTAAATGACGCCTCTGAGCTAAATTCAAATCGCCTGTTTCGTCTTTTTGTCGTTTGAATATTTTAAAAGTATTTTATTTGGGTTCAAAGTTGAAACAGGCAAAGGAAATACTAATACAAGAATAAAATATATAAACGGAATACTCTGTGTTGAAATCTGCAACTATAAACAAACCAAAAACTATAAAATTGGACCAAGAAAACTAAAATCACGACAATCCCCACCGAAAATCTATTTTTATTAGAATGTGTATGGATTCTGAACCAAATTGTCTGTCTTCAATACCTCAATCCCCTCATACGATGACATCGACATTCTTTGTTTTACTGAGGTCTCATTGAAAGTAGATGATCTCATATTAAACCTCCCAAAACACAACACACTGGGTGAAGGCTCACATACAAGCAACTTCATAAGAAGTGGAAAAGTAGCAGAGGCTATTAATCACAAATAACGATCTTAGTCCAGTTACTTCAGGCAAAAGTAGGTCGAAGTGTCCAAAAAAAATGTGCAAAACTGAAAATTGGCATAGATGTCCTATTTGATGCCCCGAACAACGTACTAAATGTCCCCCACTCTCCGATGGCCAAGTTTCTTATTTTAGTGGGGGCGGAGTGCCTCCTCGCGACATTTGCATGAGCTGTTTGTATTTGAAGGGGGCAAACAATTTTTTTTTAAATTTTTTTGCTTGTAAGTATTATTAGAGTTATTGATTATGAAATTGTGCACACATTTTTCAAATTCAAAATGTGGTATTCAAGATGTATGTATTTTTGAAAATTTTACAAAACTTGTTTGTATATTTCTGTGTGAATTTGTAATTGAAATTTGTTAAATATTATAAAAATTCCTATGTATGTGGAGCATTTATTTTTTATTTAAATGTTGTTTCTTAATAAATTTGTATACTTTCAAATTTATGAAAAGTTTAGGACCCTATACCCTTATCTCAAATAGTGTTACAAAATCTGAATATCATATGCAAACTAAGCAGTGCCTGCAGGAATCCATCACTAAAAATATCTGCAAGGAATACCAAGAACGCAGAAGTCTTTGGCAACAAAGAGTTTACAGAAAAAACCAAAAAATCTCTTGTCATAAAATTTACGCCCACTGAAAGGTTAATAATCATGGAAGGTGAAAATTGTGTTATCTGTGATATGGCATTAATGGTCTCTGATATTGTAGCTATTGGTGAAAAAACTACAATAACACTTAAAAATGCAAGCAAACATCTTGATGAGTTGCATTATGTTTTTGTAAGTGGACTCGTTATTCTCAGTGCTTGCAGAAAAAATTATATTAATGAAAGTACAATATAAAAATCTTTGAAGAGAACTCTTAGTTTCTAATGTGGAAGAGGAAAGTGATACCACTGCTTTGCGTTCACATCATAATTTTGATTTTAAAGTGAACAGCACATACATTGTCGCATTATTGGTATTGGCTAAACATGATACTTCTTGAACCTGCAAAAGTGTTCAGATAGATGGCAGTAGCAGTGTTTGCTGAGCTTGAACAAAGTTGTAGTTAATAGTCTTTCTTCCCTTAATATCCCGCTAACATTGTTTCATGCTGGAATTAAATTCATTTAGTCAAAAAAACAGTAAAAACTGTATGTGATGTATGGGGGAAAAGATTATCCACGCTCATTTTCTTGAGTTCCAGAATCCCTTCCCTTCATCCCTCTTCCCAACAATTCGAATTCAGGTTCTTAAGTTTAACATACGATTCACGTTTCTCTTACACCATTGCCTCATTGGTACACTTGACCTTCCTGGTGCTGTAAAAACAAAGTTGAAAGCTTGGATTTGGGTCATTTTAGCCATAATTGGCCTACAATTCCACTAACCCATTCAGATTTTACTAATAATTGTTCTGAGAAATTTAAAATAAGAGAAAATAGGTTTTAGGTGTTTCAATAAACTTTTTGCTTAAATTACTATTAAGCTGGTTATCATCGCCATACAGAGTAATTGCATTGCAAATTTAAAAATCATGAACATTTCAATCAAACTAGCTTGGAAATTGGAATGCACATAATCTAGTAATAGCAGTCACTTTACTTTAAAGAAAAAGTGACCTACAGAAACTTTTCTCAAATACTCCATATCAGAATTGAAAGACATTTTAGGAGTTAAAATTAGGAGTAATGAATTAGTGAATGAATTGCTCCAAGTTTTGGTGTGGAAAATTTACACAAATGTGCCACAAAGCAATTTAAATGTTGATTATTGCGAAAAGATTGGGAATTTTCAGGCAATAAAGGAGGTTTGTGGAGAAGAAGTGCAAAATGAAAGATAATTCATATACACAGCATTCATTTCTAAATTATTCAGTGCTGACAGTGCAATCTGTAGACTTGTTAATTTTCCTGAATTTTTTTTTGTAAATTTCAGGTGGAGGTTCGGAAAGTAAACGAAGAAGAAGAAGATATACAAATTTATTTAGGATATTTTATGTCTTGGGGAACTAGAAAATTCTCTTCTGAATTTTATGTTGTCCCCTTGTTGCTGTTTAGAGCAAAAACCACCAAGATCAGAAACCACATTCATACAGGATTTAGAAAAATGTTTGACTGTATAATTGAACCATATTTTCTTGGAGATATTCAGCTTATATGGCTGAATAGTCTATTTGTTAGCGTTTCAAAAGATGCTCGAGATGAACGCAGTAATGTTGTTAGATTCACTTTGCTCCCTACATGGACAAATCAAGACAAGTTAGAATTGTTCGTGTCTTTATCTGATCTTAGGAAAGTCTGGGCAAGGTACGTTTTTTTGTTTGTTTTTTTCTTTCTTTTCAAAAGATGTTTATAAAAACTTATATTTTGATTGTGCATGTGATCCTAAGCTAAAATAATTTGTTCAAAAGTGTGTCTGTTTATCTGTCTAGTAGTCTACTTCAGATTAACTTAGTATTTGTCAATTGATTTATTTGCCTTTTAACATGCTTCTGTCCTGCCTTTCAACATGCTGTTTTGAGATATATTCTGGGATTGCAAGTAGGCCTACTTACCCTTTGACTTGTCTACTGTTTCTTAAAAATAATTCTGTTAAAAAACGTGATGCTGCTGAAGCCAGATGTTTTTAATAGTTCTCAGAACAAGATTCTAATTAAACAATTAAAAGTTCTTTCTTATGGTTTTTCGGTATGGTATATATCGGTTTTTCTTCGTTAGAGGCGAGTCGTGAGTCGCCTTACCTTTTGACTAGCTCGGTGGGTAGAAAGGCGGCCTGAAAACAAGGGATGGCGGGCGGACGTTTCCATGTAAATAATGTAAATGTACGAGATGATTTTAACATCCAGTTTTAATTATCCAAATAAAATGAACATTTACAATACTTTCCCGAGACCTAGCACGAGCTCGTATTAAATTCCCCACAGTGATAATCCAAAATTATTAAACTAAATGTTATGACAAATAGTTAACATGCTTTTTTAATCGCAGATTCTTTACTTGCGAGCCAATGCGCGGCTAAGAATCGTTTCTTTCTTTAGCAATTGTCACTGCAATTCAAGAGTCAATTTGCTTAAATGCCTGAGGAGCAGTTGAGTTCTTCAACTTTCTCCCCGCCAGTAGCCCTGGCGAGGCGGGAGTTTATTGTCACGTTGGGGTACATGCGCCGCAGCTCTTTGGCTTATGCGGCAAAGAAGGGGGCAGTGCTTACTTACTAACTTAACCTATGGATGAAGCCGGCAACCTAAGAGGTGGTGAGCGAAAGGCGCAGGCCCGGGTTATGCGCGCTGGCGTTCGGGTCGGCGAGGGGAGCGGAGCGGCAGGGGCACATCCGCACCCTTCGACCGCTCGTCGCGAACTGGGCAGTTGAGAGCGTATTAACTAAAGGCGTTGAAAATGACGTCTCCGTGGTGGTTGACTGGAATCCGTTGCGTCGCTGCGGAGATGCGGGCGACGGCCGCTCCGAGACCGCGAGGGTGTGGGTAGACGGTTTCGCTCAGCTGGCCGGGTCAACACCCTCCAGACAATGACGTTCTGGTTTGACGACAGCGGGCGGTGATCGCGGCAGGTTCCCAAGTCGCTTCCGCGTGATAAGTAATAATACCGATTGTAATGGGTGCTACTAGCGGCGTTAATGACTAAAAAGTCCGTCGGACTACGAGTGATAATTTTAGTTGAAATCTCAGTTGATCTAATCAACGGTCAAGCACGGCACGGCGACCTGACTGAACTGCGAACACTGCGGTTCAACAAAATCTCTAAGTCTGAATGTGACTGTTACTTCGGCTGACCGCGCGCTGAGATCCGAGTGTGGTCCACGTGTCCTCTCTCCTGCCCCAACATCTCCCCGTGCTCGTCGGTCTGCTCTCGTGCCTGCTCGCGCAAGCCTTCACGAAAGCTCCAGTTCCCCCCACAATGATAATCAAAGTTCTACAGAATTTAGAAATATGGTTGGTGATAGGTCGCAATCATGTGCGCAGCAGAATTACGTGGTCCAATCGCTAAACCGTTTTAAAGGGAATTCGGGTGGAAAATTTCCAGGATTCACTGTCTAATGTGTCCACTGTCTTACATCGTGTTTACAAAAACACGTGCTGGTCGGAGTGGGTCCAGGACGGACATACGGACTTAATGGCATGTGGGTGGCGCCGCAGATGCTCGAAGGGGGTGGTTACGTCGTTTCTGACGGGGTGTGTTTCCTAAAGGGATAACTGGCGGCCGGCTCGGAATGTGTGCTCTCCCACAAAATAGGTTAGTCATAGCTGTTCGGAGCGAATCGAAGGAGGGGTCGCGGGCGCGTTGAAAAGACCCTGGCCTGAGGGGCGCGTGAGGGACAGCTCGGGTGGGCCGGCTGCTGTAGGAAAATATTGGAAATAATTTTATTTAATTATATCGTATTCGGTAATGCCACAGTACTACGTATCTGGTATCCGAGAGGAAACAGAAAGATAATTTTTCCAAATGTATTTCAACAATACTCTTGAAACCCTCCTCAAATTTCTTATGAAACTTATGCTCTTGTGGGGACTTGTGTGTTATAGTGTTCTGTGAGAGCATTTCAAAGTAAATGTTGGGTTTCCTAATTTTATTAACATAGTATGAAAAATATTTGTGTTGGCCAATTTGTGCTTTTTTTATTACAGTTTCATCTACATTTTGAATTAAATACAAATAGTGATAATATCAGACCAAATTTTGAAAATGTGTTACATATACTTAACTCCCATAGTGTCCCTTCAAGAGCATGAGCTGGAAGGAGTTCAACCGGGTGTTTGTCAAGCCTTAAATTTTTGGAACTGAACCTTTTTGATTGCAGCATTCCCCTCTCCTTCCTGCCCGTGATCTTGAAGGGACACTGTGTTTAAAATCTGTGATGTTGTGGTTGTGTGTGTACAGTATATATATAGTATACACTATATAATATATATATTATATATATATATATATAACTATATATATCATATGTGTGTGTAATTCAGTGTTTTATGACAAATTAATAAAATTGAAGTTTCGAAAACAAGTAAATGAGGTGACATACAGAAAAACAATTTATAAAGCATAAAGAAACCAAAGAAAATACACAGAAACAGACACTATAGCTTTTAGTGAGAGATTTATGAAGAAGCTTCTTGGAGATAAGGAACTTGACCTTTTTAAAGTCATTTTTCTTTGTGATTCACACAGATTTCACAGAGAAGACAGTTATCATGGGTTTTCCTTTTTTTAGGCAAGGGTTTTCGTTTATCACTGAAGGTTAATTTGTTGTTTTTCTCAATTTGCTCCTAAGAAACTGCTAATATATGGATTCGTAGGCTGCCGCGGCCGGAGTCAATGCATTCTTGGCTATCCGGGATGAGCCACGTCTCGATCAATTGTGCTGCAGTTGAGCAGTGTAGCTCTGAAGAAGGGTACAGCAAGATGGCCGAAACGTCAGCACAATTGACCGAGACGCGGCTCTTCCGGGATAGCCAAGAATGCTAACTGCTAATTTCATTAAAAACATATTTGTGACGCAGTAAAGTGTTGTGGCTTCAGAAATCTCTGTAGCTTCAAAGTTTAGTATGTTATGTTATTTGTATTGTAATGCAACCTGGCAGTCACACTATCATAAGGGGGAATTGCCGTCACACTTAAGGTGCAACGGTCACTTTCAGATATCAGTGCACGCGCTAAATTTATGTAAAGGATAATGGGATGCGCCTGCCTTACCTGCTAACTGGTCACCGGCGTTGAGCATCTCAGGGCTGAGCGCCCTGGGCCGAAGGATTGCATTTGGCTTACTGACTACAAATAATACACATTTCTTTGTGTCACCACTCGACAAAATAGCGGGGACTCGTTTACTATCGTGGTAAACTGTCTCTCTCACATACATTTGTTGTGCTTTCCTCTAGCTAATAATTAGTATGGGCGTGAATTCACTTACAGAATGGTGATGATTGTGATGTCGCTACTTCACCCCGAAAGGATTACACGTCCAATACCGGTCGGCTACAGCGGAGGACCCGTTGAAATGCCATACGTCTCCTGTAGTCGGCAAGAACACGCACGGATGTCCGACGTCAGGCTGGGCGGGAGATCATCCGTAGCCGTCAGCGAAACGGAGTCGGTTTTTGATGCGCGGGTCGCAGGTCGTCACACGTCGTCTGGACCGCTTTTGGTCATTTGCAGCCGAATGATCGTGCTGCACACCCTCACGGGTAATTTAGGGTGTTGATCCTATTATCCCAGCCCGGCATCCGAAATAAATTTCGATGCTGAAATGAGGGCTAGTAGGATCGTGTGGAGAACAGCGATCGTGCGTTGGATGGCTGTTGTCGCCGTTAAACCAAGAACTGTCTAAGAGCCGACCGATCGCTGTCAAACTTCCTTTTCCAATAGTCCTGTCTTTCTGGCGCCCTCAGCTCCCCCGATTCCCGTCCCCCTCCCTTTCGCAAACTGCGAGAGCTCTGTCACGAGCGTAGCGCGAAGCTTTTCTTGTTGGCTTGTTCAAAAGTTTCCAGAACATTCTATCACCCGAGCTCTGTGATTGGGTTAAGGGATCTGCGCATCTTTGCAACCTTTACTTCCTAACATGTAATTGGTTGTTTATTTTTCTGCATCTAGTACCTACGTGACTCGACACGTCTGCGAACCTTCTATGAATTTGCAAGCGTTGGGCGCTACAAGCTTATTAATTTGGTAAGGATCTACGAATAGGGGAAAGAATTCACTGATTAGGCCTTCAAGCTCATTAGACACTCTGAGAGCTTTGATCAAAACATTGTCACCGACTTGAAATAGAAGTTTTACATTTTTGGTATTGTTTTCTCGTATTACCAGCCTTGTTTAAATTTGAAAGAATTATTTGACACCTATATTGTGAGGGGAAATAGGTTGTTGTGTGACCAATTTGCCCAATATACGGAATAATGGTTATGGCTTCTTATTAAATTGAGCCTCGAAAGGTGTGAATCTGGACGATTCATGGAATATGTGATTAAGCCATGTATTAATTTTCGGTAATAAATCGGGCCAAGATTGTTGTTTATGCGAAACAAACGAGATAGTTCTTTCATGACTTTCGCTTGGGTTAGATCTCGGTGACCTGATGGAACAGAAGACTCTACACCTAGATCATTCAGTGATTGCTGCCGAAGATCACTCGTAAACTGCGTGCCATTGTCACTAAGCACACGTTGGTAGGACCCACATTCTTGAACAAACCGTGCAATAAGTGTTTTAAACAAGATTTTGCAGTAGGAAAACACTTACAATATTTGGTAAATACATCAATAACTACAAAAAATATGGCGGAATCCACATCTTAC